CATGCAAGACGACCCAAGAGGCCCCCAAGATCGCTTCAAGACGGCCCAGGAGGCCCCCAGGAGGGCCCCAAGACGGCTAAAGAGGGCTTCAGGCTTCAAGACGGCCCCAGAGGCGCTCAAGACGGCCCAACAACGCCGCAAGTGGGCTCCAACAGGGGCCCAAGAGGGGGAATTCGAATTGCAGGCTCGAGCTTTTCGCTCCAAGAGGATCCCCAAGACCTCCAGGAGGCTCCCAAGAGGCCTCCAAGAGACTAAAATATGCCGCCAGGACGCCCGCACGAGTCCCCAAGAGATCCCCAAACGGCCCCAAACAGGCCATCCTGGCTCCAAGCAGTGCGCCGAAGGCCCATCGCCACCCGGCATGGTGGCGGCCCTCTGCGCGGCCGTGGCGGCGGCGGGCCCCGGCGCACTGCGGGGCCTGGTGCGCGGGGCGGTGGCAGAGGCGGCGCGGGTGGCGTCCGCGGGGCCGCGCGCATGCCCCGAGTGCCCCGCCTGCCAGGCCACCCGGCGCCTTGCGCGCCCTGTCCGGGCTGCCCGCCGTCGCCGCCGTGCATGTGCGCCGAGCCCTCGCCGCCCCAGGTGCTGGCGGCGGCCGCGGGCGCGGCGGCGGAAAACCTCGAGAGGTGGCTGCCTTGGCTGGCAGCGCTGGTGGCGGCTGTCGTCCTCGGGCGCTGGGGCGCGGCGACGGAGGCGCCGCGCGGCGCGGCCCTCTGGCAGCATGTCGACCCAGGCCGAGGGGCGTCCTGGTTCTTGACTGCTTGTGTGCGCTTCGACGGCGATTAGTGGATTTACGGGCGGGTCTTGCTCTGGCCTGTCCACCTGGACCGTCGTCACGAATGCTGGGTGATCGGGGGTGCCGACGGCGATCGCTACGTGGAGCGCCGCGCCGAGTGGGTCTGGCACGTGTTGCTGCCCAACGTGGTGCGGCTCCGCGATGAGATCGACTGCGGGAGCTTGCGGCGCATGGTGTTGGGGGGCCGCGAGCTGGCGCGTGAGGAACGACGGCAGCGACGCCTCCCCGCCTTCCTCGGGGCTCACTTCGGCGAAATCCGACCAGCATGGTGGATTGGCACGGCGACGAGTGCGGCCTGGACATCGGAGTGCTGGTGGCTGCCCAGCGCCGCCAGATGGGGCAAGCGGCCGCTGGTCGTGGCCCCCCGCCTCCCTAAGGCGTTCGGTGGCGAGGCGGCCCACCGCCCCGCCTTGGGCCCCCCGCCGCTGGTCGACGCGGACGTGGCGCGGCTGGTGGCGGAGGTGCAGGCGGGCGGCGGCTACCAGCTGGGCGACGAGGTGGCGCCAGGGCCCTGAGACGTCGGGGTCGGCGCGAAGTGATAGCGCAGCGGAACGTCGGCCGCCCCGTGCTCTGAGAGCGCGTGCCGGCCAGCACTGGGAGCACGGGCGCCCCCCTGCCGCCCCCCTGGCCCCGCCTTCAGCGAGGAGGCCTGGCCCCGCTCTGCCGACCTCCGCGAGGCGCCGACCGACCCGACCGGCCGCGCGAGGAGGTCGAGGGCGCGCCCGCGCCCCGCAATGAGGAGTTTGGCCCCCTGGCCAACGCGCGGTCGCCGTGAAAGGTGTAACGAGCGGGGCACTCGCTTCAAGGAGTGGCGCCGCGCCGTGGAGGGGCAGCGTCGAGGCCCGGGGCGGCTGCGAGCTGCGCGGGGCCGGCGCCGCCTTGCACCTCAGCCAGCGCTTCGCGCCGCGCAGCGGCGACCCCGAGACGTGGATGCGCAACTTCTGCCGCAAGTGCTGCGCGGGCCAGCCAGATCGGACGCGGCGTAGTGCCTGGCGGCGATCCTGTGGGTGGCCGGGACCTTCGACGCCCTGAACGTGGGCGGCCCAGCCTGTCCGGAGGTAGCGGCGCGCCGAGTGGCCCAGATCGAGTGGGCCAGATCAGCGAGGCCTATTGCGTGGCGCCAGGGCAGCCGGCCGCGTGGGACCTGGGCGGGCGAGCTCCTGTTGGGGACGAGCGACCCCTTCAACGTCGTGTCGCCCGAGTTCCGCAACTTCGCGAAACGGGCCGCCCACGGCGAGGTTTTTGGCCCTCGGCCATGGGCCGCAGCCGGGCGCTGGGGCCATGCGGCCAGGCGGCCGCGGCGCCGGCGGCGTCGACGACGCGATGAGCTCGATGGAGGCGGATGGCCCGCCCCGTGACAGGGCGGAAGATGGCGGCAAGAGAGGCGGCGAGCGGAGGCGGTTGTCGCGGGCGGAAGACCAAACCACGCAAGATGGCGGCCGCCGCCCCGCCCAAATGACGAGCGGAGGGCCAGGGGTGGGGTGCCCCCTGGCCTCGAGCGCGCGGCAGCCAGGTGTTTCTTGTGCCCGAGTTGCGCGAGCTGGACGTCGACGTCGCAGCCTCGCTCGGCCGCCGCGACCGCCGCAAGGCACGTTGGCTTGCAAACGACGGCTTCTCCAGGCCCCGCGGCCAAGGGTCGCGCACTTTTCCCAAACTCCCTCCCCCGAACCGAATGCTCCCTGGGCTGCGGGGGTTTTTTTTCGGGCATCCAGGGGCCCGTTTTCGGAGTCCCGGAACTTTTTCCGCTTCCCCGAGGCGTCCACCTAGGCTTCTGGAGACGGCAAGAGGCCGCCAAAACGGCTCAAGAGCGCCCCAAACCGCCCAAGATGGCCCCATGATCGGCCCAAGAGGCCCCCAACATTGCCCAAGGTCGCTCCGCGAGGACTTCCGGAAGAGTTCCAAGACGCCAAAATCATTGATTGTCATTCTGTATTTCCAATATTTGTTGCTTCTCACGTTTTCGAGCGGCCGACATTCCAAGACTGCCCAAGAAGCCTCCAACGTCGTCCCAAGAGGCCCCCGAGAGGCCCCCAAAACAGTCCAAGAGGGCCGCCTTATCGGCCCAAGAGGCCCCCAAGACGGCCCAAGAGGGCTTCAATAGGGCTTGAAGACAACCCCAAGATGGGGCCCAAAGATGCTTAGGAAAGGTCCGACAAGCTCCACAACGCCCCCGTGGAGGCTTCAAACCTGCTTCCGCAAGGCCCCCCGAGAGGCATCCCACGATATCATCCCAGCGAACATCCGAGAAGCCTCTAACCCACAACCCAGACACGGTTGCGGGATGGGCCCAGGACTGCGACCTATGTTTCGCATGGGGGGGCGGGCAATGAGGGCTCCAAAACAGTTCAGGAAGGGCCCCGGACCCCTTCAGAGGCTCCCAAGCTGGCCTGAAATATCCCCAGGAGGCTCCAGAAAACCCCCCAGATGCCAGAACAGAGGCGCCCTCGGCCTCAAGAGGCCCCCAGGAGGCCCCAAAAGACTCCCAGGAGGCCTCCACGACGCCCCAAGAAGCCACCAAAAAAGGTTCCAGAAAGACCCGAGAAACTCCCGAGAAACCTGCACCGAGTTCGCAGGAGGCTACACAGACCCTCAGAAACCCGCCAGAAGCCCGTCGTCCTCCATGCTCAGGAAAAGCCTTTCGGAACACGTGGCCCTGGCTTCACCCCCCGCCCCGCCCACCTAATGTCGAGGCCCGAGGACGCCCCCATGGCGCCCGCAAGACGCTCCGGAAACGCCTCTCCCGCACACGTGGATCAGGTGACAATGATGCTAATCGTCGGTGGTCCGTCGTCGTCGTCATCGTCGTCGTCGTCGTCGTCGTCGTCGTCGTCGTCGTCGTCGTCGTCGGTCGTCGCTGGTACGCTACAGGCCAAACCCTTCCTTGAGCTTCGCAGTATCCGCCCGAAAATCACGCACTGGTGAAAAGGAGGAACCCGGAAGACCACATGAAAAAGGCCCCATGGACATGGACACCGTCTTCGGAGTCGACTAGAACGTAAGCGCGCGCGTAGCGCGCGCGTGGTTCTAGTTTGAATTAGTTGCCCGGCGCTGATCGGCGGCCGCCTGGCCTCTTGGGCCGTCTTGGAATTCCCACGGCCGCCCCCACCACCGCATTTTCGATTGTCCACACCACCACCGTCGCCACCACTGTCCCCATCATTGTCCCCACCACCGTCCCCACCACGACACTACCGCCGTCCCCACCACCGTCCCCGCTGGCCCCTCCACCACCGTCCCACCATCGTCTCCCACCGTTTCCACCACCGTCCCGATCACCGCCCCAGCTGCCGTCCCCACCATCGTCGCCACTACCGCCCCCGCCGTCCCCGACACAACTGTCGCCACTGCCGCTCCCACCACCGTTTGGGCGGTGGGTCCGAGCTCTCCCCTCCACCCCCTGGGGTCGCAGATTTCCTGCCCTCTGGCGCCGGGGGGGGCCGAGATCGAGGTTCCCGGGCAGCGGCGCGCCCTGCGCCTCGGCCGGGCCTCTGCGGGCCCTCCGGCATCGGGGCCTCAGAGACGGGGGTCAGTGCAAACGGGGGTCAGGAAAACGACGCGAAGATCGGGACAAAATCGGATCGGGATAACTCGAAATCTCATGAGAATCGGCGGGTTTGGAGGATGTATTGGGCGCCGCGGCCGCTCCAGAGCGTTCCGGATCGCTCTGAGAGCGCTCCGGAACGCTCTGGAGCGATATATCCCGATCTTAGCCCTGTTTTAGTCAGCCAGGGCACCGGGTCCTGCAGCATCCTGTGAAGACCCTCTTTGGCTGACCCGGGTTAGCGAGCCGCTCGTGGCCGCGAGGCGGCCGCGCATATCGGCTGACCCGGGTTTGCAAAGACCTGCGTTGCAGTTTTTGTTTCCTGCGTTGCAGTTTTTGGTTTCTTGCTGACCCAGGTCTGGATTGACCTGGGTCAGAAGATTCCTGACAGCATGATGATGATGATGATGATGATGATGATGATGATGATGATGATGATGATGGTGATGATGATGGTGATGATGATGATGGTGATGATGATGATGATGGTGGTGATGATGATGATGATGATGATGATGATGATGATGATGATGATGATTAATTGGCTGGCCGCTCTGCGGTTGATCGGGAGTTTTGTATATAGAACAAGGGACGACGATGGTGAGAATGAGCGGGCGACGGTGGTGCCGCTGGTGAGGATTAGGAGGGTGAGGATCAGGAGTGTGAGGCTCACGAGCTGGAGGTCCCTGAGGGTTATCCGTCCTCCTCCTTCTTCTCCATATTCTCGCTCTCTGCTCCTCCTTCTCCTCCTCCTCCTCCTCCTCCTCCTCCTCCTCCTCCTCCTCCTCCTCTCTCCTCCGTTCCTCCTGCGTTTTCCTTCCTGCTCATCCTTCTCTTCCTCGTGCTCGCGTTCGTGCTAGGTCTCGTTTTCGTCCTCGTCCTCGCCCAGTGCGCCTGGCGCGCCTGGCGCATCGCTGGAAATGGTCCTTGGGGGTGCGCTGGGGACCCGTGGGGCGATTTTGCGAGGATGTCTCGAGCGAGGGCGCCGGATTGGGACACGCCCGCGCGCCCAGCGCGCCCGGCGCATCGCCGGAAATGGTTCCTGGGGGTGCGGCAGTGGGGCGATTTTGCGAGGATGTCTCGAGCGAGGGTACCGGATGGGCCGTCTTTGTGCCCTTTTGCGGCAGTTTTTGTGCCCTCTTGGGGCCGTCTTGGGAGCCTCTTTGGGCAGTCCTGAGGCCATCTTGGAGGCCTCTTGGGCGCTGTGGGGGCGATCTTGGGGGCCTCTTGGGCCGTCTTGGGTCGTCGGAAAGCCGAGAAGAAACGAATGCCAAAATCCTTCAAAACCTTAAGGATTACGCTACCAAGGAACCCCACATACTTACATTATGGTTGGAGTGATGATAGCTGAAATGAAGCATGTGAGAAGGATGTTGGTGGCCGTGCCCTGCGCGCCTGCAACGCATAGAGACCGCACCCCCTGTGCGCCCCCTCTGGTGTCGAGAATTCCCACGCCTGCCGCGCCCTGCGCGCCTGCAGCGCATAGAGACCGCACACCCTGCGCACCCTCCTGGTGTCGAGAAAGTGCCGCGCCTGCCGTGCCCTGCGCGCCTGCAACGCATAGAGACCGCACCCCATGTGCACCCCCTCTGGTGTCGAGAAAGTGCCACGCTTGCCGTGCCCTGCGCGCCTGCAACGCATAGACACCGCACCCCCTGCGTACCCCCTCTGGTGTCGAGAAAATGCCGCGCCTGCCGTGCCCTGCGCGCCTGCAACGCATAGAGACCGCACCCCTTGTGCACCCCCTCTGGTGTCGAGAATTCCAACGCCTGCCGTGCCCTGTGCGCCTGCAACGCATAGAGACCGCACCCCCTGCGGACCCTCCTGGTGTCGAGAAAATGCCTCGCCTGCCGTGCCCTGCGCGCCTGCAACGCATAGAAACCGCACCCCTTGTGCACCCCCTCTGGTGTCGAGAATTCCCACGCCTGCCGAGAATTCCTACGCCTGCCGCGCCCTGCGCGCCTGCAGCGCATA